CGTTCCCGCCCTGGGCTCCTCTCCCCAAAACACTGATGGAAGGGGCCCCACAGCCTCACCCCTCGGGCAGCCTTAGGTGCAGGGCCAGCCTAGGACAGGAGGCAGAGGAGAAGGAGAAAGAAGTTCCACCCCAAGGAAAAACCTGGGCACAGCTTACCCCCAGCTCCTGCCAAAAGTTCTCTGCTCCCCCCTTGGAGCTGAAGAACTGGACCAAGGAGGCAGCCAGGAGCACGGACAGCCCTGGGTACGGCAGCACTAGCAGCCCCCTGCCAGCCCAGGACACCCCTCAAAGCTGCGCCCCAGCACTGGCCTGACCCTTGCAAAGGCCCTTCCATTATATACAAACCATGCAAATTTTGTGTAGAGCAAGAGGTCCAACCATATGCAGGGCCTAAGACAGAGCTTTGCCGTAGGAGGACAGGTCAGTACAACTGGTTATTCTTTATGACTATTCCTGATTAACTGTACTGATGAAAAAAGCTAAGTAGTTCCTGCACTCCTTGTACCAGTAGTTAATTTCATCCTCTCTCCTCCAATGTAGTGTATCCTCAGTTGGGCCAAATCGTAGTTGAGATTAGCTGGGTTTAAAAAACAAAAAGCCAAAACCAAATAAAAGGCACTCAAACCAAAAATCTCTGACTATGGTGTCACTTGAATATCTGCTAACAAACCAGGTCAGATCTAGCCAACATCTATAAACACATAACCACCAGATTTAATCAAATGCCATAGTATCTAGCGAGTTGCTGCTTTGCATTTCAGCTAATAATGCAGCTCTTATGCATTTATTTGTCCCGAGCTGCGCAAACTATTTCACAAAATAAATCAGAAATTTATGAAAGCAAAGCCATCAGAGGTAATAGTTTCCAGCAAGGTCTTGGTTCTTGCCTCATTGAGGTCCAAGGGAAAAGGATGACATGGGAGGTGAGTACGTGCCATCCTGAGCATGAAAAGCTGTTTGGCTCAAGCAAAAATACATTAAAATTGATGAGTTGTGCAAGAGCTTGGTTTGACCTTGCTTTCTTATTACATGGCCAAGATAGTCCAAGCAAGAAACTTTGAATATCACTGTAAAGACATTCAAGGAAGCAACTGAAAATTTTGAGGTAATCAGAATTATAAACCCTTGGGTTATTCATTAATGACACTTATAAGACTCCAAAGTTTTGGAAAACCAGAATTCTATTAATTCCACATCCACAAGTAAAATGCGTGCGTGCACACAACAAAAGAGCTGGGATACATTAGAGTATCATGGAAGGAATCCTGAATATCTATTTTTGATTTCAATGCTAAGATTTCCAGTAGCAGGAATTACTACTTTATACATGTCCTGCAAATGTCTGTCATTGTACAACCAATTTAAAGGGCCCGGCTTTTAAATAGAACAAAAGCTCATTTGCTTCAAGAGCATGCATGTGTACCCATTCAGAATATGCAGCGAGAGCATGGGATAGGAAGGGCAGTAAGTAAATGTTGCTCCTATTGACTTTGCATTAGCTTAAAGTAGACCTGCTGGAACAAGAAGCAGGGGGAATGAATTCAGTCTCTTATTTAGAATCAAGGGAAGCTTGGTAACAAAATGCAGTTTGAATGTTTGACAGCGTGAAACAGCAGAGAGATTCTCGTATTATAAAGAAATTCATTTGCCCATACATTTCCAAACACACGGGGAGCCCGAGACCTTGCTGAGTGTTGTCAGGAATTGCCTCTTCACCTCACCTGAAGTGCAGTTGCGAGAGAGATGCCTCTTACTTCTTTCAATTGCTCACTTCTCTCATGAGCTCACAGCCAACATGTGTCTCGTCTCCCGGGGCGTGAAGTAAAAGGGGCTGACGCAGTCAGAACTCGAGTTGAGGAAAAAGCCTAGCATAATTTTGTTTTGTTACAGTGCTGTGCCAGAAGGAGACTTTATCGGCTTCCAGGCAGCAAACCTAGCGCCCTGCATGCTGAAACACTCCCAGTCATATCAGGCATCACCTGCAGAAAAGGCTTATACAGATGAAATCTTGCTGGTTTCTCCCCCCATATATATATATCAGGTTGATGCGATGAATGGTGTTATGTCTCCCTACAATCCACACCTCCTTAAAACATTAAAAATAATAATTTGAATGACTAGGGTTTTTGGGTAACGACAGCTTGAAGGAGAAGTTAGCTAGCACAGTTACCTTGGCATTTTATTTTTGTCATTTTTCTAACATTCCACCTTGCCTCATTAAAATACAGAGCATGTGCCTTAGTCGTTAGGTCAATACTAAAACATATATTAGGGAGAGAGAGAACTACACAACTCTACCTAAGCCCTTTAGCTGGTCACTGAAGCTTGTTCATGTAGTAGTGTTCCTAAATCTGCCAGAGACTCTGGAAGGGGCATTCGCATTGCCCCAACTTACCTCCTGGTGAAAGCAAAGCCAATTGATTCGGCACATCTTGTGTTCAAGGAATCTATTTTTACTGGTACCACAAGTAGCGCTGTGATTGTAGGAACTTAGGAACACAATTACAAACAGAAATGTGGCCTTGCAGGTAGAAGTCAGTGTGCCTTTATAATCCTGACAGTTTCCCACAGATCTCCCACAAATGCCAGACAAACAAAAGTATTTCTGAAAAGCAGAGTCACGTTTTACTTCCTGTTTAGCTTTGCCACCAAGTGGTGATTCAACTCCACACATTTCAATACCCAATTAAAAAAAAACCAAAAAAACAACTTAACCAAAACCCAATTCCTATTCCGACTGGATATTCCAAGCCATCAGCTAGCACTGGACTGCTTTCTGACCAACAGCTTTCATAACGGAGAAACAATTCAGCAAGAGAAGCACATGGAATAATCAAGCCAATCCATCTCACTCCGTACCATGGGGAACGGAGCCATTTGGGATGCAGATGACCCCGTCTTCCTCCTGCTCCATCTCAAAGCAGTACCTGCTGAAGCTGCATGCAGAACATGTTTAAACAAAGAGGCGTTATGTTAAAACCTGGACTGTCCTGACACCTCCGCTGACTGAGTACTGCAAGGCACAGTAGCAACTGTATTTTAGTAAATCGTCGCCTCAGACAACAAGTGCTGTTCACTGAAGTTCAG